TTGTAATTTGCAATTAATTTATTTCATTATTTAGGTCATCTTTCACTGTGTTAATTGTGTTCTTTACACAGAAGTTTTAAATTTCATTGTAATCCATTTTGTCTTTGCCTTTGTTTTTTGTGTCTTATCCTGTAAATCCTAGTTAAATTCAATTTCACGAAGCTTTATCCTATGTTGTTTTCTAAAAGTTTTGTAGTTTAGGTCTCTGATGCAGTTAGAGTGATTACACACAGTATAAGGTGAGGGTTCAGCTTTATTCTTTTTAATGTGGAGTTTTTTTATGTTTAATTTTCTATTCTATGAGAGAAGATTCTTGGCTGTAAGTAATTGGGGGCCCCAGTTGAGCTAATTTAGGACTTTAAACTTATTGGCCCCAAATATAATGTTTTTATTTGTTGATATCTTTTATTCATATTGAATTAAATAAGGGATTGAACACAGTCAAGCTGTTATAGGCTTGGGCTACAGTGAAGTCACAGAAAAAAACATATCTGAAACACAGTCAGAACCCACTTTTATTTTGATGGGTTGGTGGCTTTATTCTTTCAGTGCATCTCGAGACCTTCAGAGTTGCTTCAGCAGAGAATGAGGGAACCACAGAGTTCTAAACCACAGCCTTGAATCCTTCAGCCTGGTGGCTCTCCAGAGCTCTCAGCCATTAAGTAGAATTGACCATGTGGTCCTGCTTAACTGCAGTGAAGCTGGGAAATGTGTGAAATAACATGTTATATTTTGTTTTGTTTTATGAAATATGTATACCACAAGCTGTTACAAAAGAAAGAAGAGAATCGATGTAGATAAGTAAAACAAATGTCCACTGCAGCCTGGATGTTTTTTTTAAATGTTTAAAATGTTGACATACAAACATACTGTTGAAGTTTGAAACTTCATTCTTTGAAATATTGTTTGCCAAAGGTTGACTTGTTTTCATTTAAAGGAATTTGTGAATTTGTGCTTTAGAACCATTGACTTTAAAAGTAATTTCTAGAAACCAACCCATTTATGGGTTGAAGACTGTAAGATGATGCTAAGTTAATTAGTTACCTGGTAATTGCTAGATTCTGTGGATATTCTTTGATGAATCAAGTGTCTTCTGAGAGCTGTTTATTCCTGTGCTGGGGATGGAACCCATGGCCTCGCATATACTAGGCATGTACTCCACCACTGAGTTACATCCCTAAGCCCCCTTAAAACTTCTTTTTTTTAAAAAGAAATCCTTTGTCTTCAATGAAGATTTCTCTTAGGGTTTCTGAGTTACTATTTCAATGCTTGGCAATCTTTCATTTTTTATTAAGTACCATACAATAAGTATTAAAATACTTATATAAGTATTAAATACTTATATAAGTATTAAAATACCTAAAGGTTTTCTGGGCTCTGTGTCATAATTACTGAATTCTGTTGTCTTTCAGCCCTGTTACTATAGTACAAAATCAGCCATAGACAATACTTAACTACATGAACAAGAGTGGTTTGTTCCAGTAAAATTTTATTTACAAACATAGGTAGTGGGCCATAGTGTGTTCATTTCTCCCTGACTGCTCATACTTATTGATCTTCTCTCAGTTCTCCTTCCTTCCCTATTATATTTGTGTTCCTAGATAATCTTTAGCCACCTTTTAATTTTGAATTTCTTGAATTGCATCATTCACATTCATTATATTAACTATCTTCAGATTTTAGCATCAGATTTCAGGTGGGTTTTGACTTTGCCTCTTACTAGCTATGTGATCAAGGGTAAGTTAATGTGTCCTAAATCCTGTAAAGTAGGGCTAATAATACCTGCTTATGATTGTTATAAACATAATATACAAAGTGGTCAAGTGTGGTGGTGCATCCTTGTAATCCCAGTAAGTTGGGGGGCTGAGGCAAGAAAATAACAAGTTTGAGGCAATCTATCTCAAAAAAAAAAAAACCTAAAAAAAAGGGAAGGCCTTGGGATGTAGCTCAGTGGTAGAGTGCCACAGGGTTTCAAAAAAAAAAAAAAAAGGAGGGGGCCTATAGTGTTTAGTATAAAGATTGACAAATAATAGATGGTAGCTCTTGTTTTTATGGTCTTCATAGATGTTGTCTTTCACACCTGGATCTTGAACCCAGAAATTTATTTAGACTTCCAGTTTTTACTCCATTTCTGTTTTGATCATTTTTACTAAACAGTTCTTTAGTGTCAGTAAAAAGTATTCAACTGCAGGTATTAAGCTTCTCACATAACAAGAAGTTTGGAAGTAGAGGGTTTTATAGAGCTTTAAGATGACAGGACATTTTCATGAATCCCTTGGTTGTCTCCCTCTTTATCTCTGTGAGATATTGCAGTAGCTTTAAGCATCTCATCCTCATGCAGCTGTATCCAAAGGAATAAAAAGGTGAAAAGAAGAAACTTATCTTTGTGTATTGTTTTCCCTTTTTATTACAAAAGCTGTTTTTAAAAAGTTGATTAGGAAATAGAATTTATAGGACTTGAACAACTTAAAATGGGAGAAACTTGAGGAAGTATAGGATGATTATCTCATTTTTTACTTAAATGTCTACTATAGGTGGATGGTAGTTCCATTAATATGAGAAAATTATAAGTTTTATAAAAGAAGATAAATTCTGTTTTAGACTTACTGAATTTGAGATCACTGTGGCAGATGGACAGTCTGTCTAATAGCCATTCCTTCTTTTATAGCAGCTGTATTTCACATATCATAAAATTTATCCTTTAAGAATGTACAACGTGTTGTTTTTTAAAGTATATGATATAGTTACGTAATCACCATCACTATTTAATTTTAGAACATTTTACTCGTCCCCAGAAGAAGCCTCGTATCCATTAGCAATTGTTTCCTCCTTCTCCAGGCATGGGCAACCATTAATCTATTTCCCTGTGGATTTTCCTAATTAACTCTTATAGTCATTATTTTCTTCTCATCTTCCCTTTTGAGTTCCCTTTTAAAAAGGACTATCATGCACAATTACTAATTTTCCTTTTGGTTAGCTTAATGCCTGAAATAATGTATAGTAGCTTTGTGATGTCTGGGTAAGTTATGAAATTAATTCATCCACAATAGTGATTTTTTTTTTAGGGTGTTTTAGGTAACCATAATTAAGAACCACTGGTTAGGAGTACTTAGTTAGAGGGCCTTTGCTTTGTCCTCATCTATCTTTCTAACACCCCTGCTTGTTGTTCTCTGGCTTATATTTGATGTTCCACCAATATTAAACCTACTGGTAGTTTTAAATAAATGTCATGCCCGCCTGCTGCACCACACCCTTGTTTCCTTGCCTCTGCTCCTTAGATTTTCTCTGTTTAGAATTCCCCTAGGGTTTTCCAGTTCCCCAATTCTTGTTCATCTCTTTAGGCTTAGTCAAAGAATCAGAAATTTTAGTTTTCTTTCTGGGGAAGCCCCTCTGCACATCCCTTTATTGTTCTCACCATGTAATGCTATATAAGTAAGTAAGTGTGTGTGTGTGTGTGTGTGTGTGTGTGTGTGTGTGTGTGTGTATGTATTATTTCATTTCTCTAGGCCAGTGATTGCTGAACTTTTTATTGCTTATGTGTGAAAAATGAATATGTACCTATACAGTTAATTATAAGTTATATTTGTACTAATGGAGGAATTTTTTAATATTAACAAAGCTTTTTGAAAAAAATACTCATAAGTCTAATAACTGTAAATTTAATCCTGTGTCTTACTTTACAACTAACGAAGTGGTGGGTTTCTTGACGGCAGGAGCTCAATATATGATGATCTGAACTCAGTTTCTTATCTGTTTTTTTTTTTTAACCTACCCCTGTTTGGGTGTAGGTCTTCCTTTTCTGTCATAGTACCCTTTCTATACCTTTACCATTGCCCTTATCATGCTATATATTGTTATTAGTATAAACCTATTTTCCTTCAAAAGAATATCTTTCATATGGGTAAACTTTGATTTCTGATGTACCACAATTGCATGGTACCAATTGTGGAATGAATAAACTGAATTGAATAAGTGGGATGCAGTGGTACAAATCTGAAAGTAATTAAGACAGTGATAACTTTTAGTATTTATTTGAGAAATGTTAGGGCCATTTATTTTTAAAATGCTTATGGTTTAAAGTAGTGCTTCTCAAGTTATTGGTGATAATGGACCAATTTATTTTTAGTTCCCAATACATTTGTGTTCTTACGCTTATATAAAATACAATAAAAATTAAATACTAGGAAAATGACACAAAAAGAGACATATAAAATATAGGCTCTAACTTTTTATTATTATTGTTATTAGATTCAACAGGCATAAAATTACTCTCCAAAGAATCTGTGTACACTCAATAGCTCATGTACCACATTTTAGAAACATGGTATAAAGTACTGTAATAAATACCTTATCTCATTTAATTCTCATAAATCTATGAAGTAGGTACTGTTGACAACATTTTTAGGAAACCAGGGCATAGAGAAATAAATTGCCCAAGATCATATGTACACTATGGAAAATAGCCAGGATTCAAATCCACATAGTCCTGTCTGGCTCCAGCGTCCATGTGCTCGTCTGCCTCTGATTTCATAAAGATGAAATAAGGTAGCATTTTAGTTAAGAATGTTGTGAACAGATATAGATGCAAGAAGAGATAGTTACAAGTCACAGTGTAATGAATTATTTTGCCAGTTAAGGGGTCACAGAATGATTTTCATATAAAAGTTTAGTTGTGGAGTTAAGAGTAAACATCTGCTTTTTACCTTAGTGTTGAAATCCCTGATTTGCAAAACAAAAGAGTGATAATGTTTCTTTTCTGTTATTTGATAACATAATCAAATTGTTATTTTTATACTCATATAAAACAGAAATGAGCTTCCTTTCTACAGTTATCAGTATTATAAGAGCGAAATGTAAGTAAGATCCCATTATTATGTTTGATAGTAGATGATCATATTACTGGTTTCATTGGTTTGTATCATGAAATTGGGAGACTTCTAAAGTATTTTAATTTCAACAACTATATTGTTTTTAAATTTTTAAAAATCTTCCCCCTATAGAAATCTGGTTAAGAAGTATTGTCCCAAACGGTCATCCAAAGATGAAGAGCCAAGGTAAATCATATACCAGTTAATTAATGCACATTAAAAATAAAAAACAACTTGTTTTTATTATTTATTAAAAATGCTGTTATTATTTTAAAAGTTTGTTAGGGGCTGGGGTTGTTGCTCAGTGGTATAGTGCTTGCCTAGCATGCATGAGGCACTGGGTTCATTCCCTAGCACCATATTTAAAAAACAAAACAAAAACAACCAACTAAATAAACAGCATAAAGGTATTGTGAACATCTTCAACTAAAAATATTTTTTAATAAGGTTTTATTTTAATAAGAAAATCAGTGTTCATGAAAGGGGAAACTACTATTTCTCCTATATGGGTAAATACTTTAGTGGGCTTGATCAACAGTTTTCCACTATAGTTTAAGAAGATTTCCAGGTAAACTGAATTAGGGCTCCACTTGAATGATATAGTCTCCAGAAGAGAGAGGGTTTTTTTTTTTTAAAAAATGTATTTTCCCCCTACCTTATTTTGTAGCTGTCAGCTTTTAGATCCTTCCTTTTACTCTTATAGGTAGTAATACAATTTAGCTTGTTGGTTTAAAGGTATAAGGAAAGGGATGAGATTTTAAGGGTAATTTTTGAACCCTGAAAATTTTTTTAGCTTTTGGTCAAAAATGTGGCTACAAAATGTGGAAACAAAAAGATTAGAACTTAACAACTTTGTGTCAAGTTGTCACTTATTAGGATTCTCAGATTTGCTGTTAACAGAGCCCTGTCTGAGCAGTCATCTTTCATCAATAAGAGAATACTCCTTCAAAGTAGATGTATGCTTTTTAATAGTGGTTCTCTTTGTTTCTCTCCTTCCCTCCACACACATTCTTACCCTTATTTTTGACCCTTCTACCCCTCTTTGATGCCAACCAAATGGCTCTTCACTTCCATTCAGGATGTGGGCAGGCATACAGGCAGCTGTCTCCAGAGCTGCTAGCAAAGTTGTTCTATAGATCAGCCATCGAGATGCATTTGAGTGGTATGATTGGCAGGTTCTGTCCTCGAGAGCAAGTGCATCATCTCTGCAACAGGTTCAGCTGCCAAGCCTAGGAATCCAACCAAGTTCATTCCCAAGCTCAGGCCAGTCAGTTGACAACCTAAAGAGATTCCAGTATGCCAAAAGAGTCTGCAGGTAGTATTCTTATTATTTTTTGATCCCAAATATCCCTTTATTTATAAATTAAAGGCTACTTGAAGATATAAAAAAATTGTACAACTTGAGCTTAATGCAGGATTCATTCCATATGGAGTTAATTTTAGAACTAGTAACTTCAGTTTAGGTTGAATATGTTAAAATTTATCAAGTGTTAGGCTCAATCTGTACCATACAAAAAAACATTTATAGTGCAAGTAAAAATATATTCACCACTTTTAATATGTTTTTGCCAGGTTTACCTCGTGCATAGCCTTTTTTAATATCCTTAATGAGTTAAATGACTATGCAGGACAGCGAGAGGTAGTAGCAGAAGAAATGGCGCACCGAGTTTATGGTGAATTAATGAGATATGCTCACGATCTGAAAACTGAAAGAAAGATGGTAATTATTTTTATCCAATTATAATAGTTTTATGAAATATTTTTATAGAAATGTTTTGTTTTTCAAAAAACCCGTTTTCAGCATAAACTGGTTTTCTGTTAAATTTCTTGTAGCTAAAAATTATTGCAAGTTATTCTTGCTCATTTATGATCCTTTTGGAATTAAGACTAAGATTTAGCAAATGATAGTCCATGGAAAAAAATTAGCCTACCATCTATTTTTGTTTTCTAGTTTCCACAAGCTAAGAATGGTTTTTGTATCTTCAGATGGTTAATAAAGAATTAGAATAAATATTTTGTAGCATCTGAAAACTTCATCACATTTAAATTTCAGCATTCGTAAAGTTTCATTGGAATAGACTAATTCATAGTCAATTCAAATTGTCTGTGGCCACTTTTGTACACATTGGCAGAGTTAAGTATTTTAGAAGATACCATGTGGCTTGGAAACCTAAAATATTGTCTGACTTTTTATAAAAAAACCTTTGTCTACTCCTATTGAAGACAATCATTATTTTTCTAGATATTATGTGTATTTTAAAGGTTGTGTTTAAGTGTTGAAATAATATCCTATAAAGTACATTTTAGAGAGTTTTTCTTTACTCTCTTCATAAGTCTTGATAAAGTTATGTAATTAGTACCTTGGGGGGGAAATAAAGTTAAAAAGCCTTTTGGGCACAATGGAATTTATTTGGTATTTAAAAGTAATTATTTTTGTTTCTTTGTTTTTTTGGTGTGTTTATAATCTTTAGCATCTCCAAGAAGGACGAAAAGCTCAGCAATACCTTGACATGTGTTGGAAACAGATGGATAATGTGAGTTTCACTGTTTTAATTGTTAAAATTTTGTAGACTAGATTACCCCTAATGTCTGTTAGATTTTTACATCTATTTGAGTTTAATATTTCTCAATGCATCACTCATAATTTGTTTATTTTGTTGAACAGTAGCCAATAAAGTATAAATGAGGATGTGAGATCATTTTGTCTTTTTTTCCTATATGTGATTCTCTGTTTTGTATAAACTGTAATCTTCATATCATTGTAAATATTTTGGGAGATTTGCCTGGACTTTGTGTATTTACTATAAAATATTAATAAAGGTAGAAGAAGTAGAGAAGTAGTGCTAGATCTCAGAAGACCGGTTGACTGAGACTGAGGGAACGAAGACTCTGGTTCCACCTTTTTTTTTTTTTTTTT